TTTATTTTTTATTTTTTTATATTTTTTAATTTATATATTCCCCATACAATTGCACTCCCCTTATTTTGACCCCAATCCCTCCTTTCCCCACTCCTACCCCCATAGTGTGCCTCTGGTTTATAGTCCAACACAGTTTTAGATCCCACTTTTGGTGGTGTAGAGGCAGGACTAGGCACAGAGCAGGTTTTCTGATCCCATGTAGACCGGGTAAAGGAGGAGTCAGAGTCCTCAGTGGTTTTGCAGGTCTTTTATTGGGGTTCACCAGGCACATGGCTATCTGGGCTCTCTAGCGTTGGTTCTGCTGCTTCTCAGCTTCTCATCAGCTGCTTCTGCTGCTGCTGCTGCTGCTGCTGCTGCTGCTGCTCTGCTGCTGCTGCTGCTGCTGCTGCTGCTGCTGCTGCTGCTGCTGCTGCTGCTGCTGCTGCTGCTGCTGCTGCTGCTGCTGGCGTCCCCGTGACGCCGCCCTTAAAAGCACAGTCTTAGCTCAGCTGAATCCCATCTACCTATGCCCACACCCTATTCCAGGTGCCCGCCATCAGGCATGCATTCAGGACAAGGATCCATCATCTATCCTGATGGCGGAAGGTCAGAAAAGCCTGATATTTTCTTTACCCTACAGGTGGGAACATACCTATCAAGCTCAAGGTCTCAGAGCCCCTCAAAGGGTCACCAGCCCTTCTGTATAGACAGATGAGGGGGATGAAACAGTAAAATGACTCAAACTAAGCTACTTCGGAAGTGTCCACATACACTTGTAAAAGAAGATTTTTAGTTATGTCAGTTTAAAGAGGTTCCTCTCCACGAAAAAAGGAAAAAAAGCCTAAGTATAAAACTGGATGAAATGATCAAAATCAACCATTGCAGGGCACTAAACATCCTCACTCAAAACCATCAATCTTCCCTATACCCCTTCTCTGATTTTCTGTCCTATGTCCATTGTATTCAAATCACTACCAGGTGATAAGATGGTGGAAGTTAAACTAATCCCTTTATGGTGGCATTGATAAGTATGAAAGATGTTAAGATGTAGCCTATTCAGAAAATGTTTACTAGTCCTCCAAAGCTGGATTATTTAAAAAATAAAAATAAAGGAAAAAACGATCATTTTAAGCACTATTGTGAATCAATAAGGCAGATGTTTTAATTAGAAAAATAAAGGGTTCTTTTAGTTGCTCTTAAAGCTATCATTTACTGAAGTTGCTGCTGCTTCTAAAAGTATTAAAATCGGCTATAGGAGACTGGCTTTGGAGCCTGGAAAAGAAGACAGTCCTGCTGGTGGGAAGCTGTGTGAATTCCTCTAAAGTGACCCAAATGACTGTGGAGATTATGTTGTCACAATGAACACAAAATACATGGCATTTTCTGAAAACAAATGGAAGAGTAAATAGAAACCTCAAACTCGGGCTACCAGGTGGATTTAAACAAGTAACAGTTGCTCAGTTTGACCAGCAGAAATCGGAGGCCATTGTAAAGCTAGCTATTGCTGGATGCTACCAAAATCCTTCACAGAAGAACTTGGATGCAGAGCTGATCTCTTCCCATATGAGGATATACCAGAAGACAGACTTAAGACTTAGTGAAAAGGGGCCTTCCTGATGGCGCAAGGGTTAAAGACACGGTGCTATCAAGCTATCGCCAGCCACAGCTGCCTGAGTTCCATCCCCAGCCAGGAGTTAAGCCACATGGCAGCAGACCTCTCCTGTCTTACCCGCTGCTATCCTCAGCAGTGTATTTCAGTCACTCACCTGTTCTACTCCCCACTCTGTCTCTAGTAAATCCTCTCACCACCCCCCTACATCTCTGGCTACACCCCAGTTCTTAAATACATAAATAAATCTTTAAAAAAAAAGATATAGTGAAGATCTTCTGCAACCACACAGAGTACCCAGATGTCTAGATGAGTAGACAGTAGGAGAAACAGGCTTACCCCAAGATCTTCTTGCACCTGGAGGTTATCAGCTATAGGGGAATGAAAATAACAGAAAATAACAGATGTGATTGAAACTTATTGATAAATTTATCCCAACCTGCAAATCAGAGTCAAACAACTGCTGTGTTTTGACAATAAACCTATTACAGGTGTTGAAAATCTGTAGGAAAAGGTATATTTTGTTTGTAGGAAAAGGTTTAGGAAAAGGTATATATATATAAAAGGATATTCCTTCATTAGGAAATTGCAATAAAGTACATGAGTAGGAGGCTGGCCTAAGTATAATTTACCATGAAACATCAACTGTGTTTGTAATTATAGCATGTATACGTATATATATACACACATACACAGACATATATACACATATATACATATATATATACACAGACATACCACAAAAAATAATAACTAAAAATTGGACTCTTGGGTCTCCCTGGTGGCACACTGGGTAGAGCACAGCACTATGGAGCTGTCCACAGCCTCTGCAGCACGGGTTCGAATCCCGGCTGGCCAGGAGAGACCCACATGGTGTGGTAGGCCTCGCCTGTCTCGCCTGCTGCTCCCCTCAGCAGTGCTTTCGGTCCGACTGCCTGCCCTGCTCCCCACTTTGTCTTTGGTGAATTTTCTTACCCTCCTGCACCTCTGGCCTGTACCCCAGCTCTTGTATAAATAAAATAAATCTTAAAAAAATAAGATAAGAAAAAAAAAAATTAGACTGCATGGCCTAGATGTATTTAGTGAGATATTTCACTGAATATTAGAAAGGTGAAGGGAACCGAGCACAGAAAGCAATGGCACAGGACAGTCTCTAACAAAAAATACTACTGATGTTAAAAGAACACCAAAGAGAGAAAGGCTTCACCCTTAAAGGTTTCAGAGAGATTCAGACAGAGATTGAGAGAGGAGAGAGAGAGAATCTCTGCTGATACTTTGATTTCTGACGCTCCAGATTTTTTGTTATTTTAAGTCACCCAGTTTGTACTAGTTTGTTACAAAAGTCCAAGGAAACTAATACAGATGTACTATTTTCCTACAGTTCTCTATTTTTTGGTTGTCTTAACAATTAGTGATTTAAAACTAAAATTTGGAAATGACTTTTAAATAAATGGATATATTAATCAGATATCTTCTGACAAATAAACATATTGTATTTCACTGCAAGCAATAATTTTGATTTTATATTATCAAAATATTATAAGCATGGGAACCACTAGAGGTCAAGTGTATATTTGTGGAAAAATTAAGATATGGGAACTTGAAATATCTGATACAAGTAACAGAAAACTAAATAAAATTTTATTATTTTAAAATAGTGCAAATAATTACAAAGAGAAATGTTCCAACTGTACAAACCGTTGTGTGTATATGTGTATATATACACTCATGCACATGCACGCACATACACATCTAAACTTTGCCTCATATTTCATCTTTTTATCTGAGTAAAAAGAAGTACACTTTGCTCATCCAGAAGATTTTTGATGTTGTAATAATTACCTAGAAATAGAGTGATAAGAAAAATTATTTCCATAGAAATCATTTCCTCTTGATTAAATAGTCATCACTAAGCAATTATATATATAGCAGCACCAAATAAAAATAATCAATCCACCTAACCCTAAGTAACTAATTCCACAAACTGAAAAATCTGTGTTAGCCACTGCCTATGATCCAGATAAGGTTTGAAAGAATGTAACCTTCATTGTCATTCTGACAATGAATGCAAAAAGACAAGGGTTCAGGAAGTAAAATCTCTTCCTGCATCTAATCATTGTTCAATTTTTGGAACTGCTATGGAGTACCCTAAACCAGACACATGCATGTACAAGCAAGTATGAAAGGTAACATAAATAAAATAGTAAAAATGTAACATATTAAGTAAAAGCTACTCTTAAATAAGTTGACAAATAACAGCAAAAATGAAATATAGATGAATAGCCAGCCACACATAAAGTAGGTTTTACAGGACTGAGTACCATACTGTAACTTTCTATATAGAATAAACTGATACATATTAAACTTAACTGCATCAGTAAATGTTGTATTCACAACAGTGCTGGTACATACAAATATTTTTTTTTGTTTTCATTAGAATGTAAGCTCCATGACAGCAGGATTTTTTTCCTATTTTGTTCACTTATATATCCTTCACTCTTAGAGCAATGCTAGGCAGACTCTCATTCACGTTTGTTGAATGAACGAAAACAAATGAATAAATTAAAATTCCTATTCCCCAAATCCGTATTCTTCAATACTGTGTTCTTCAAACATACAATATTCTGTATGTTTAAATAACCTACTCAAGGGCCTCCCTGGTGGTGCAGGGGTTAAAGTGTCAGCCCTATCAAGCTATTGCCAGCCACTGTGGCATGAGTTCGAGCCCAGGCCAGGGAGCTAACCCACATGGCACAGCAGACCTCTCCTGTCTCGCCCACTGTTCCCCTCAGCAGTGTACTTCAGCAGATATGCCTTTTCTGCTCCCCACTCTGTCTTTGGTGAAGCCTCTCACCTCTGCACCTCTGGCCTGCACCCCAGTTCTTTTATGCAGCAAAACACTGCTGAGGGGAGTAGAGGGTGAGACAGGAGAAGTCTGTTGCGCCATGTAGGTTAGCCCCCTAGCCGACTGAACTTGTGCCATAGTGGCTGGCAGTAGCGCTGTGTCTTTAACCCCTGCCACCAGGGAGGGCCTAATAAATAAATCTTAAAATAAATAACCTACTCAAAATTGTGTGACTACACGATGTCTTAAAGATAGTAACTTTTCTTCTATCCTGGAGACAACCTATATTCTAAGTAAATATTTTCAGCAATAAGCAATTCTTATATTTTCTTGTATTTATTTGTATTTCACAATTCTTCACATTTCATATATTCAAATTTCAAGTATTAAAATACTTCTTTAGTGATAAAACTAAAAGAAAATATGTACCAAGCTTCTTTAGCATCAATGACATCATGCTTAATTTTGATCACTGGTTTCAATCTTCAGGGTGCTCATGAGTATCTATAAAAATGCTATAATATGTGAAAGAGAATGTCTTTAATTATTCTTACCTGAAGGAACAGAGAATGAATCCCCAGTTGTTATCACATAAGGTGTTTCATGTAAGGTACATAAAAGGTTACCAAACTTAACATAAAAAACCTGTAAATTTAAAAACCAATTTCATTTCAAGTTGAACCACAACAAAGAATTAAGGAAATAAGGGCCCTAGTAACCCTCCCCCGTACACACACACACACCCCTCACCCCACCCCCGCCCCGCCGCTGCCATCACACACAGCCTCCAGCCAAGATGCCCAGATGCTAATCTTCAGAATTTACTGTTAGGTAGTAAAAGGGGCCTTAGAAAGATAACCTTGAGTTATCTAGTTGGGTCTAATCTAGTTGTATAAGCCCTTAAAAATAGAAATAAAAATTTCTCCTGCTGGAAGCCTTGGAGAGATGAAACAGAGGAGTGAGAGAAATGAAACATGAGATACACTGTTGTTAGCACTGAAGAGGGTCAGGAACCAAGGAATACAGACTATTTCCAGATCTTGAAAATAACATACTGATTAATAGCCAGTGAAGAAACGAGAACCTCAGCCATTTAAATACATGGAACTGATCTTTGCTAACCACAGAACTTGAAAACAGATTCAACCTATGAACCTCCAGAGAAGAATACAGATCTGCCGATATCTTGGTTCGAAATAGTGAAGTCCACCAGACTTTTATAACTGACCTAACTATGATAATAGTGGGTGTCCTTTCAAGTCACAAAATTTGTGGTCATTTTTTAGACTGGCAATAGGAAACTATACAGGGAAAAAAGTCTTTTTTTTTTCATTATTATTTATTGGCTTATGAAAACTTAGAATCACTGTAAAGAATGTCACTTTACTATATGGACCTTCCTCAACTTACAATGTCCGAATAAACCCATTGTAAAGTGATAATATCACAAACTGAAAATGCTGGCTGGGAGCATTGCTGCTGCTGCTGCTGCCACCCAGTTTTTACTGAATACATATTGCTTTTATACTATAGTAAAGCTGAAAAACTATAGTATAGATGGGCACCATTTATATTAGAAAAAATGGCTAGGTTTTTATGGACCTCTCTTTAATGATTCCAAGTTTAGGACACCAGACTACTCAATTTGACTAATGAGTCAAAGAAAGAACAAAAAGACAAAAAACGGGGCCTCCCCAGTGGCACCGCCGGTTGAGTGCAGTGCTGTAAAGCTGTCCGCAGCCTCTGCAGTGCTGGTTCGATTCCTGGCTGGCCAGGGAGATACCCACATGACACGGCAGACATCTCCTGTCGCCCGCTCCTCCCCTTAGCAGTGTCTTTGGTCCATCTGCCTGTTCTGCTCCCCACTCTTTCTCTGGTGAATCCTCTTACCCTCCTGTGTCTCTGGCCTGTATCCCAGTCCTTGTATAAATAAAAAAATAAATCTTAAAAAAAAAAAGACAAGGGCCTCCCCTGGTGGCACAGGCGGTTGAGTGCCATGCTGTGAAGCTGTCCACAGCCTGCAGTGCTGATTCGATCCCGACCGGCTTGGGAGGGTCCCACACGGCACGGCAGACCTCTCCTGTCTCACCCGATGCTCCCCTCAGCAGTGTGTTTCGTCAGTCTGCCTGTTCTGTTCCCTGCTCTGTCTCTGGTGAATCCTCTCACCCTCCCGCGCATCTGGTCTGTACCCGTTCTTTTTTTTTTTTTAAAGATTTATTTATATATTTGTTTGTTTGTTTATTTGTTTATTTATTCAAGCATTGGGTACAGTCAGAAGCACGGGAGGGTGAGAGAATTCACCAGAGCCAGACAGACAGACTGATGAAATACACTGCTGAGGGGAGGAGCGGACGCGGCAGGAGAGGTCTGCACGTCATGTGGGACCCTTGCTGGTGGCTGGGGATCGAACAAGTGCTGCAAAGGCTACGGGCAGCTTCACAGCCCAGCGCTCAACCGCTGTGCCATTGGGGAGGTCCTGTACCCTGGTTCTTGTATAAAATATAAAAATAAATCTTAAAAAAAAGACAAAAAAAGTCATTCATTTACACAAGTACCAAGAGTAATAAAATAAGAGAAGATAAATCTCTTCAGTCATACAGACTTCCATAATCAAACATGGCAAATTTTACGTTTTATACATAGATAGCAGAATCCTGCAAATAATCTGGTTTTGGGAAGGCAACTAAATAAAAACTGCAAGGCTTTTAAACTTCAAAATTCAAATTTCGAGATTCAGCCATTGGGATTTTTTTTTTCTTTGCTTCAGAGAATTCGCCTTCCTCCTACTTCCCTTTTTTTTTAAACCACTTTGTGAAACGAGCCTAAACTACCACAATGCAGCTAGCCTTTATAATAGCACTTGCTCTAGGCCAGCCAATGTTCTGAGCACTTTATTTTTATTCATTCAATGTATATATATACCAGTGAGATGGGTACTAAGTAAGTATAGATATTAGTTTTTCAGAGATGAAGAAGACAAGGCAGGGCACTAAGGGTGTGACTTTCTAAGGTCATGATAGAAATGGAAAAGTTGGATTTGAACTAGTTTGATTCCGGAATTCATGTTCTTAACCACTATGACATACTGTTTTCCTAAATGGGAAAGAAGTATTTGAAAAAAAAGCTCTAAAAGAACTCTTATAATTTATATATTTTTTGTGTAGAAGAACTGGGGTGAAGGCCAGAAGTGCTGGGACTGAGAGGGTACACAAGAGACAGAGTGGATTTACTGTAATAAACTTCTAAGGGAACCAGCAAGTGAGACAGGAGAGGTATAAGTGGGTTAGCTCCCTGGCCGGGGATGGAACTCAGGCTGTAGTGGTGATAGTGCTGAGACTTAACACCTAGGCCATGAGGGAGGCCCAGAACCCTTATAATTTAATAAAACAACAACAACAAAAAATTTTTTAAAGATTTATTTTTTATAAGAACCAGGGTACAGGTCAGATGCGTGGGAGGGAGAAAGGATTCACCAGAGACAGAGCGGGGAACAGAACAGGCAGACTGACAAAATTCACTACTGAGGGGAGCAGCGGGAGAGACAGGAGAGGTTTGCCGCGCCATGTGGGACCCTCGCTGGCTGGCTGGGATGGAATCGGTGCTGCAGAGGCTGTGGACAGCCTCACAGCGCGTCGCTCAACCGCCTGCGCCACCAGGGGAGGCCCAACAACAACAAAATTTATATCAACTTTAGAGAAAAGTTACTATAGCATGTATTTCTATGTTTTTTCCTTATTTATTCAGTTTGGCTCTCTAAACACAAGCCTCCCCACTTTGCACACATTTTACTAACAAGGTTTTTTAAATATACAATAATGAACTTGCATGAATATCTAATATATACATACATACACATGTCACATAAAAGTTGCAAGGAGGTGAATCTCTAAAGAGAGAAACACAGGGCCTTCCTGGTGGTGCAAGGGGTTAGGATGCAACCTATGAAGCTATCTGCAGCCACCGCAGCACAAGTTCGATCCCCTGCCAGGGAACTACCCACAGGCACAGCAGACTTCTCTTAAAATCACCTGCTGCTCCCTCAGCAGTGTATTTCAGTCAATCTGCCTGAAATACACTGTTCTGCTCCCCACTCTGTCTCTGGTGAATCCTCTCACCCTCCACACCTCTAGCCTGAACTCTAGTTCTTGTATACATAAATAAATAAATCTAAAAAAAAAGAGAGAGAGAGAAAGAGAGAAACACAGAGATAACTTAGGCCAGCAATTTTGCTATATACGATAATATACTGTTGAGTACTTTTTCAAGCAACTAGCTTCCAGTGCCCAGTCTGCTGCTAACTAATTACAAGATTGTGAATTCTTTTCACCTCATTATTGCTAAACTGCATGATGGAGAACGAGATTTAGATTTAATCACTATAAATCCCCTCAAGCTTTAAAATTTTAACGATTGTTTACAAACCTATACACTAAGATTTTTGTTCTAAAGACATCTGAATCAAAGTTCTGAATCTCAAGGTTACACTGCTATGCACAGAACAACTTTTAAGTAAGCACAGATTGATTAACTCTCAATAGATTAACAAATTTAAAAAAATTCTGAGCACTGTAGTAATATTTTTGAGGAAACAGCACTTTATGCTTCATCAAGTTCAATAAATCAGACTTGCACCAATATCAAAAAGATAAATATATGGAGAAATAAACTTACCAATATATCTGAGCGAACATGCTGCTTTCCCTTTTCTTGATGTGGTCCTAATGTCAATTTTCCAGTAGAAAAAAAGGGTGTATCCAGTGTTTTATATATTTTCAGTTCAGCATGCGCAACAAAAAATTGGTAAGTATCTCGTGGCCTTACAAGATCTAAGGGAAAAAATAAATATAAAGTAAAAATAAATACAAAAAATAGTGATGCAACAATACACACACACATATAATAGTTACGACTAGATGTAAACCTGTCTTAGACAGAAGTGATTAAGTTAATTGACTCTGGAGACAGAATGCCAGAGGACAAATCCTCCCTCTGCCTTACAAGCTCTATGAATTTAGGTAAGTTATCAATGTCTGTCTGTCTCTCTCCATTTTCTTTGCTATACAATGAGATTAAAAAAGAAAGTTCATATTTCATATGAGTTACAGGTGTGAGATATTTAAGACACTGGCACAAAGTAAACATTAGGTAGGTCTTAGCTATTAATATTAATGGCAGTAATTATTATTTCTATTACAGGAAGGTTGGAAAATAAAATAAAGAGATAAGAATTCCGTATCTTTAAAAAGTTTATCATAACTCTTAATCATTATGTCACTATTCTTTTGTAATTGATTGACAGATTATTAAATAACAAGGTATTTACTTACCAGGTAAAGGTACTCAGTAAACAGAATTCTGTTACTCACAAATTACTATCTTACTTTTGAATTTCCCTTTTACTTACAAACCTTTCCAAATCTGTAACTAATATTCTTATCTATCAGTAGCTTCTGACACTGTTTCCTTGGCTACTCAGGAATGTTAGTAATCCTACACATTATAGAATATAGAGAATA